TGTTAGTATCAATCAAGAGTCAGAATCATATGATACGGAAATTGGTAACCATTAGACTAAAACAAATTCAATTAGGATTTGTAATTCACAATAAATAAATCAATTGAACGATTAATGATGATTTGCATGAATAACCTTTAAATTCTAACTAGTAAGATATTTTTGATATAATATATTATTAAGAATTGTATATTTTAATTCTTGTTACTGAACCTTTGTTATAATTAACTTTATAAAAAATATATTTCTAATTTATACTATAAACAGTTATTTTCTAATTAAGAATTTTTATATTTTAATTCTTTATAAGATACTGTATTATATTGAGTCTTAATTCATGAATATCAATAGTTGACAATAGTTATTATTTATGCGCAAGCACATTTGATATCCAAAACAAATAGAATTATTTTCCTTTATTAACATTACAAAAATAATCGATTGATTTATAATTAGAAAAGTTGTCCATATTTTTGAAGCGACTTTTGTCTGAATGCAAACATGTGTTACACTAAAATGTATTGAAAAGAGTAATATTCCGGTGATTATTGATGTGTGGAAACAGTATACCAGACAATATGTTCCAGATGTTTGAGCACTTGTATATTACTACATTACCATAAATATAATATAGTAATAAGTTATTACTAATAACAATACAGAACTTATATAATGTTATATAACAGAAGTGTGAATAACTTTCACTTTAAGCGAGAGTTCATTTTAACGTAAAGTTTGCAAAGGAAAAGTTCATTAAGTAATGATTGTTTGTTATAAAATTTACATTAATATATAATTTAAGTAAATATTTGATAAAAGTTTGTTGACTGAGAGATTGAGTAATAAAAGTGTAATGACAAATGCATTTTATGGTTGATTTTGCTATAATCTTTGTGTTGGTTTGCATCGCCAGTGCCATCCTATTCTTAGTCTACCTGTGCTTTCGTAATGAGAAAGTCAATTGTGAGTGCGATTTGGGACAGAAATTTCATATTTGCAAAAATAATTGCATCGATGGTATCATATGAATTGATTTTCTCATCACAAATCAATAAGTTTACCTGAATACATGAATCGCGCATGTATTCACTAATAAGTTATTTAATATTATAAAGTTTTCATAACATGGCTATAACTTATAAGTATAAATAAACAATTATTAAGAACATTGAAAACATGAGATAGATTCCTATAGATATACTGTAACATTCAATATTGTACCAGTGAACTTTTGTACGGTACTTTTAATTAAGATGTGATATAATGATATTGTAATACAATAAGTAACTTAATACTGTATTGTAACAAAATCTTTTAAGATGATAATGTGCAAAGTTTGCAATGCATTTAAAGAATTACATTNTAAATAAACAATTATTAAGAACATTGAAAACATGAGATAGATTCCTATAGATATACTGTAACATTCAATATTGTACCAGTGAACTTTTGTACGGTACTTTTAATTAAGATGTGATATAATGATATTGTAATACAATAAGTAACTTAATACTGTATTGTAACAAAATCTTTTAAGATGATAATGTGCAAAGTTTGCAATGCATTTAAAGAATTACATTAATTGGCAATGAATTACAGATTAACCAATGCACATTTTAATTTTAATAGCAATGAAAGTATTTTATATACAATAAAGGGGTATAGATTTGAAGCCCACTATTATATAATTTTAGACTTGAAGATGTTTTCATTCATTACTCAAATGAAGTAATAAATCAATTTGAAAATTAGCGCCAAAACTACAACCAACGTAAATGTTGCCATAATGTGCCGCAATTGCATACCTTTTATGATTACAACACCCATTGCCATACAATGACACACTGGTATGAAATAGTGCCGAACAGTGGGCACATAATAGACACCATTATTGTCTCAATAAATACAAACAAATTGAATGAAAAGAGAAAACATTGAATGAAAGGATAATTTGCGAGACAAGTGGTCACCGAAGAGTGGGTCCAATAGATCCATAAGGAGATCATGAATACGCGAAACACGAGGCGAACCACTCCGGAGGAGAGTGTCCGGCGCGGGAAAGCCGTGGCCAACAGCGCGCCGACAGCACCGGTACGGCTGACCCGACATCAGACACAACGGCAACAGAATCAGCAAAAAGTGACCGAAAGTGTACCGCAAGAAGACGTGGAGGAAGAGGGAGAGCCACTGGAAACGGTTGATCCGCAACAGCATCAGGTGATGGAAGTGATCGCCGAAGAGGTGCATGGGATGGACGCCCAGGAAGTGCTTGAACTGCAACAACAGACCAACGCACAGATGACCACAACTATCATTCAGATCATCGATGACCACAACTATGACAATACGGGTCAAGAGGTGGTGGAGCACGTGATGGCCGGCGATGACCAACAGATGCAAGCGATGGATAAGAGTGGCGACGATTTGGCCAACTATTGGACACTCGAGAGGAGTCAGACGGTGGGCGACGGACGCCTGGACTTTGTCTGCAAATGGATGTTATGCTCGTTTAGGACGACCTCCGAGTGCTCTATGCGTAAGCATGCGGTCAAACACCAGAAGCCATACATGTGTTCGTTCGCCGGTTGCGGCGATCGGTTCACCGAAACCCAGGAGCTGTTGCAGCACTTCTCGGCCACTCATATGGACACCAATGCCTTCAAGTGTACGTTCGCTGACTGTCAGCAACGGTTCAAAGACATCAAGTCGTTGACAGCGCACAGAGTGTCTCACGTGTCGCACACCACACAACTCATCAAAGCCAACAAAGACTACAAACCCGGCGCTCATCGGAACCGCTCCTTCAACGACGACGCGAATCAACAGATTTATGGCCAAAACGACGAGAATCTGGTATTTGTTTTAATTGTCTTTGTTTTGCATAAAAAGGGTTTAATTATAGCGTTGAATGTCTTGACAGACGGCCACATATCAGATATCTGGGGAACCGTTGACTCTGTCAGACGGCACCCAATACTATGAGGCGACCGCTAATATCAATGCGAGTGACGGACAGCCCCAGCACTACGACCGCTACCGCAACAGCTCTCGCGTGAGTTCAGTGATCAGGTGTCCCATCAGTTCCCTGACGGACGACATCGTCGAAGGGAACGACAATTACGTGAAGTGTCGCTCATTTGAGGGCAAGTTTTGGTACAAATGTTTGTGGGATTACTGCGACTACGGGAACGTGAATGAAGGCATCATTAGGCGACACGTCCTGAAGCATGAGTTCCCACACAAGTGTGCGTTCGGCGGCTGCAGTAAGAGCTTCGCCACCATCACAGAGATGGCTGAGCACACGACGGTCGCCCACACCGGTCCCAACCCCTTCCGGTGCGATTGGCCCGACTGTGACGAAGCCTTCGATGGTTTGCGACCATTGACTGACCACAAGACCAAACACCTGTCAGAGTCGTCGCCCGTCGCCCACAACGCGGCCAATAGAGTGAAAAAAGTCAAACCAGCCGTTCCTCCCAAACCATTTATGTGTGATTTTGGGAAATGCAGTCAGTATTCAGTCGTTTATGTTTTGAAATTATGATTGATTTGTGGTTTATTTGTGTCCAGACATGCATTACGCCACTCAAGAAGAGCTAGACCTCCATAAGCAGATCCACGCGGGGGACCGACCGTTCAAATGCCAGTTCCCTGACTGCACTTTCGCCGCCAAATCTAAAGATAAGCTCCAAATCCATCACTCGAGACACTCGAGTGTCAAACAGTTCCGCTGCTATTGGCCGACGTGTGACAAGAGCTTCACAATCAGTGAACAGTTGCGTCGACACCGGAAACTACACACGAATAGGGATCAACTGATTTGCGAGTTCTCCGGCTGTGACCTCGTCTTCCAAACGGCAGACGAGTTGGAGAAACACCTGCGCCGACACCTCGGTTTGGATGACTCCACGTTCAACGCGTTGAGTCCTTTGGGCTTTAAATGCAATTTCGGTCTCTGCAGTCAGTGTCCAGAGCTCTCTTGCCTACCTTTCCCTATATTTAATGAGTTTTTCATTTGTTTAGAAATGCATTTCCAGACCCGAGAAGAGCTACAAAAGCACAGCCAATCACATCGCGGCCAAAGAATGTTCAAATGTGGTTACGAGAACTGTTCCTATTCTGCCAAAACATTGGACAAACTGACCGCCCATTTGCGCTACCATTCCGGCGAACGGCCCTTTAAATGCGATTTCATTGGCTGCCACCAGGACTTCATCCAAAGTCATCACTTGGCCAGACATCGGAAGTCACACTTTGGCGCCGGACAGACACCACTGAAAAGTGAATCACCGATTGATGAGAAGCTCATGGACTGCGACTTCTGTGGCCAAGAGTTCGCTGACGAAGCAATGGCTGAATCACACGACTGTCCCGAGAAGTCATTGCAATCAAAGTCTAAAACAAATAGTAAATCAAAAGCCATTAATAATAAGAGAAAACGTGAGACAAATGATGCCGAAGAGGAAAGTGAGCCCCAAATGAGTGACAATGAAGTGAACACAACGCTAAATGTTTGTACAAATTTTATTGAATAAAATATTTGAGCGCTTTATTTGTCAGCAGTTTATTTGAATTTCATTTAACAATCAACTCATTTGTCTGTTGATTAGACGCCAAAAGTGCCGGAGAAAGGGATCGCCTGTTCTTACGGGAAGTGTCACTTCAAGTGCGCCACCGATGAGCAGTTGAATCAACACACAGACAAAGTTCATTCAGGCGACCGGCCCTTCGCCTGCGACTTCGAGGACTGCACCTTCAAAACCGGTCGTAAGGATAAGCTTAAGATACATACCAGACGTCGTAAGTGTTGACTATTTTTGCTGTTTTTATACCGTTTTTCATTGAAAATGTTTGATTGATCTGTGCGTCCACTGCAGACACCGGTGACCGGCCCTACAGATGCGAGTGGACTGAATGCAACCGTACTTTCATATCGAAAGACAATTTAAATCGACATAATTTGACTCATTTCCGGTCGAAAGCCTCCAAACCGGATACAGTGGACACAGACTTTGATAGAACTCTCAAAGAATTGGATGATTTACTCCATGAGACCGATGAGACTGTTGTGGCCGCGCCTCCCGAAGAGGTTAGACTCTTGTCTTAATCTATATATCGTTTCTAATTTGTTTCTTTGTCTTGATTTTAGGGCATAAATGACTGATTCATTTCGCAACCATTGCATAATAGTTTCAATGAATAGTGTAATTCTTTTGAATATTTCATTGATTCGAGCACTCAATACAGACACCCCTTTGCCCTCCCGTCCCCTCTCGACCACTCACTCCAAAGGGTGTGTTTTGTTTGACAAAATCCAAATCAATTGAAATACTGTACTAATGGACAAAAACAATGTTTTTGCTTTTATTTTATTCGTAAGTTTTTCTTTAACTGTTTTTTGTTATACTTTTTCTGTTATGTTTTAGTCTTTTATGCTTTTAAAAGCATTTAATTGATTGTGAAACTAATTTTTTAAAAATAATTTAATCCTTATATATAATCTGGTATTTAATATATTCTGTTATATTATTCCTTTTGTTTTTATAATAGATTAAGAATTTCTCAGTTTTTGTACTCGCATTGAAAGCAGTTTTCAGTTTCTAATTATGATTTCATGAAATTATTATCCTATTCAGAGACACAACTCTTACTTTTAAGCAAGACTTTAACGTTTAATCACATAATCCGTGAATTAATAATCAATTATCCAATTACTGAAACGATGAACACATTTGTCGACAGATTTATATTTTCTAAATACAAATTCACTTCATTTTATGATTACTATAGTATAATATATAATCATTTTTGACATTTTTTTCTAGTATTAAAACTTGATTTGAAATGTAAATTAAATTAAAAACTATATTATAAAATATAAATAAATATAATATTAAAAGTAATTATATTTATCGAAGAACTCTTTGGTAATGTCTTTGACAAATAGATTACTGTTTGGCGGCAAATGAAGTGTTAAATGATTGAAATTTTGTGACACAAAAATCAATTTAAACGAGTCTTTCGGCCGATTCATTGCCATTCGTATGAATCGCACAACACTTTTATCCGTAATACTTGTGTTACACTTCAACACAAGTGATTGAAACTGTAGACACCTTCTGATCAACTTCTGGATACCTGTATCTGTGATGTGGTATAAGTGACAGTTGAATGTCTGCGCCTTCAAGTGCTTTAAATGCGATAATTTGGACAAATGTTTGACACATCTGTCGCTCAGTACGCGATCCGAAGACACTTGTATTGACTGCAATCGCGGCAAACAGTGGTGAATGTCGTGGAAGTGGTCGTCGCATAGACTCGATATCTGTAGCGATAGACGTCTTAAATGGTGATTAACGACAGCACCGGTAAAACAGCCGACGCTGTCGTCATTGACGGGAATGTTGTGTTGGAATTCTAGTTGATTTAACTC